GGTATTGGTACCAAGGCTACGGGGGCTACCCCTACCCCTACCAGCAGTACCAATACCAGCAGCAGTACTGCATGGTGCCCCAGCAGGGGCAATGGACCGCCGCCCAGCCGGGGGGCCAGCAGCCCAACGTTCCCGTGATGTACAAGTATCCATCGCAGTGAGGACAAAAACGAATCGGTGGGGTGCAGTGTGTGCTGACTTGATTCTAGTTAAGAGACTAAGAAATTACATATTTGGATAATAATATGTAGTTGGCATCATCAACGCACTTTGGTTTCTTCAGACTTGGGTGTGTGCCGCTCATAGGAGTTATTTTTCATACATATTTTTGTATAGTTGGTTGCGTTTCTATACACCTTCATTTTTGTATATAGTTGATTTCAAAGTGCGATTGGTGGTCTTAAACTGATTATGCGTGATACAATTTAGTTGTCTTTTTTTCTCTCATTGAGTGACTGTGGGTGGACAAATGACGAGCGTGACAATTAAACAGTTACTGTAGATTATGTATAATTAGGTTAGACAAACACACTGTAATCATTAATATATCACGTTTATCTGAATGATTTTATGATGATGCGCATGATTGTCTTTCCAACTGAATAAGACAGATTTTATAACAAGAAATAATAATGTATATGCTAGTTGTTAATAAAAACTTCAGGTCTGGGACCTTCTCTTTCCTTTCACACCCAATTTCATCCACAAATTTCGTTTTTATTGCTATTTTGGCTTTGCGCCCAAATGTATGCAACCGAATATACACCAAGCGCGCCACCAACCTCAAAACATCCAATTTTACCACTTCAAAGTCGTCTTTTATTGTTCATTAAACACCAAATTGAGCAACAATTCACTGTTGTTAATAAAAATTTTAGGTCTGGAACCTTCTCTTTCCTTTCACACCCAATTTAACCCAAAAATTTCGTTTTTATTGCAATTTTCGCTTTGCACCCAAATCTATGCAACCAAATATACACCAAGCGCGCCACCAACCTCAAAACATCCAATTTTACCACTTCAAAATCGTCTTTAATTGTTCATTAAACACAAAATTGAGCAACAATTCACCGTTGTTAATAAAAACTTCAGATCAGAAACCTTCGCTTTTCGTCCAAATGTATTATGATATCAAATATACACCAAGCGCGCTACCAACCCCAAAAAATCCAATTTTACCACTTCAAAATCGCCTTGATTGTTCATTAAACACAAAATTGAGCAACAATTTACCGTTGTTAATAAAAACTTCAGGTCTGAAACCTTCTCTTTCCTTTCACACCCAATTTAACCCAGAAATTTCGTTTTTATTGCAATTTTGGCTTTGCACTCAAAGGTATGCAACCAAATACACACCAAGCGCGCTTTCAACCCCAAAAAATCCAATTTCACAGTTGGAGACAAAATACTTTGGTCGTCACTTTTCTGACACTTTAATGTAATTCAAGCTTTAATGAATGACAATTTCAAATTAATGACAGCTATTATATCTTTCTAACAAAAATATGTACAACTTGTCAACTATGATTGACAATAGCTAAAAATAAGGTTAACAGTCTTAAAGCATGCTTTACAATTTAATGTCACACAAGGGACATTGACAACCCAAGTATTTTGTCTCCAACTGTACCACTTCAAAATCGTCTTTTATTGTTCATTAATCACCAAACTGAGCAACAATTCACCGTTGTTAATAAAAACTTCAGGTCTGAAACCTTCTCTTTCCTTTCACACCCAATTTACCCCAAAAATTTCGTTTTTATTGCAATTTTGGCTTTGCACCCAAATGTATGCAACCAAATATACACCGAACGAGCCACCAACCCCAAAAAATCCAATTTTACCACTTCAAAATCGTCTTTTATTGTTTATTAGACACACAATTCACCGTTATTTCTTCTTGTTATTGATGGTGTGTACGAATTTGGTCATTTTCCGTATGGACTCTTGGATTATTTGGCACTGCCCATACACCTTGGCACAGTTTTTCCCCCCTAGCCCATTTCTGACGGCGTCGTGTACCACCGAGCCTTCGACCATCCCCAGGACCCATTGACTCGACGCCAACCCATCGATAATCTTATCACTGCTCGAACTGTGCCCCTGTTTCACATTTTGGGCGGAATTTTTAACGGCCCAACAAACCACTCGTTGTAAACACGACGTCGAGTCGAACCCATTTTCGCTCAAACTGCGGTCGAGCAGCTCCAAATAGCCCCACCAGGCTTGCCCATCACCTGAAAACAAAAAACGCGGGAGGTTTTAGTGAATTCTATTACCAACTGTTGGTTGGTAATTAAAAAATAAATTATTTTTACGCAAGTAATTGATTGAGGGGATACAAGACAAGTTTCAGTGATTTTGTTACGTGTGATTTGTGGTTTTATCGCGTTTAATAAATATTTAATTCGGGTACCAACCCCTAATTTCGAAAGTCACTATTGCGTGGAATGGCGGTTTTCGAGATCAAGTTGGTAGTCAGTATAAATGTCAAATTTTGTGTAAAATTTGTAAATTTTGTCCGTGTAAATTCAATATGGAAAATTATCTCTTTTTGTTGGAATTGTTCGTGGATACGGTGACTTTCTCCTCTAATCTCCCCTCGTACCCCCGCTCCGTGGACGTGGTGGTTTCCGGGGGCGTGGGGAAGGACATCAAGATGGACGTCTTCACAGTTCAGGCCTTCCCCGACTGTAAAACCCCCCAAACCGGCGTGAATCCCCCTAACTGTGTGTTTCAGCCAACGAGGAGCAAAAAGAAATGCAAATGAACTGCGGCAGGTCCACCCTGTTTGCCTGCACCCCCGACGACCTCCTCGCCAAAATCAACTCGCACCCCTTCGAAATCGTGGTCTACATCAAGAATAAGCCCATTGGGAGTGCCCCCATTTACTGGACGAAGGATTTTTACACTTTGGTGAAAAAGTCGAAGGAGACTTTTGGGGTTAAAGGCCCCGTTTCGATGCAAGACCAGTTTTTGGTCAAGGAGAAGGACTCGAACAGGATCATGGGGGACATCAAGGCTAGTGTGAAACTGTCCGCTTTTGGGAACACTATTCAGACGAGTTTTCAACTTTTGAACAGCGAACAAGACGCCAAAAAGAAGTTTTTGATCAAGGGGGCCCGAGGGCAAACCACCTTCCAGTGCCAAAAGTGAGGCTTTCAATTGAACGAAAATGTTCTTTTTGAAATTAAGTTGGCAACAATGAAAAACACTGACAATTGATTATTTTTTTTTAATTGTGACCTGTGATTTTGAAATTAAGTTGGCAATATTGAACAACAGACATGAAAATTGTCAAATGTCATTGTTATTCAAAACATAGTCGCAGGCGACTTTGATTATCTCGTTGATGCATGCAATCATTTAATTGTAACCTGTGATTTCGAATTTAAGTTGGCTACACTGACAAAACGGAGACATGAAAATTAACAGATGTCATTATTATTATATCCTGCCAACTTAATTTAAAAATCGCAGATTATTATTACTATTATTATTTCGATGACTTATTTTTTTAGGATGAATAGAGTTTTTTATTGAGGCCTGCGATTTTAAAATTAAGTTGGCAACACTGAAAAACAGAGATGAAAATTGGCAAATGTCAACTTAATTTAGTAGCAAGCGACTCTTGAATTTTATTTTTTTTTTTTGTAATATATAATTGTGAACTGTGATTTTGAAATTAGGTTGGCAACATTGATAAACAAAGATGAAATTTGACAGACGTCAAAGCTGCCAACTTAATTTAGTCACAGATTTTGGTTATTTCGGTGATTTTTATTTTTTTTAGGATGAACAGAGTCTTTTAATTGTGACCTGTGATTTTGAAATTAAGTTGACAACACTGAAAAACAAAGACATGAAAATTGGCAAATGTCAACTTCATTTAGTAGCAGGCGATTTTGATTATTTCCTTGACTTTTTTTTTCTAATGTATGCTGTCTTAATTGTGAACTGTGATTTTGAAATTAAGTTGGCAATATTGATAAACAAAGATGAAATTTGACAGATCTCATTATTATTCAAAGCTGCCAACTTAATTTAGTCACAGACGATTTTGATTATTTCGTTAACTTTTATTTTTTTAAGGCAAATGGAGAGTTTTTTAATTGTGACTTGTGAATATGAAATTAAATTGGCAACACTGAAAAACAGACATGAAAATTGACAGATGTCATTATTATTCAAAGTCGCCAACTTAATTTAGTCGCAGGTTAATTTGATTATTTCGATGACTTTTATTTTTTATGATAAGTAGTCTTAATTGTGACCTGTTATTTTGAAATTAAGTTGGTAACACTGAAAAACAGACATGATGTCATTATTATTCAAAGCTGCCAACTTAATTTGGTGACTTTGATTATTTCGTTGACTTTTATCTTAGGATGAATGGAGAGTTTGAAATTGTTATTTGTGATTTTGAAATTAAGTTGGCAACACTGAAAAACAGACATATGAAAATTGACAGATGTCATTGTTATTCAATGCTACCAACTTAATTTATTCGTCGGCGACTTTGATTATTTCGGTGTCTTTTATTTTTAAGGATGAATAGAGAGTCTTGTGACCTGTGATTTTGAAATTAAGTTGGTGACACTGAAAATTAACAGATGTCAATGTTATTCAATGTTGTCAATTAAAGGAGAGTTTTTTAATTGTGACTTGTGAATTTGAAATTAAATTGGCAACACTGAAAAACAGACATGAAAATTGACAGATGTCATTATTATTCAAAGCCGCCAACTTAATTTAGTCGCAGGCGACTTTGATTATTTCGATGACTTTTATTTTTTATGACAAGTAGTCTTAATTTTGACCTGTTATTTTGAAATTAAGTTGGTAACGCTGAAAAACAGACATGATGTCATTATTATTCAAAGCTGCCAACTTAATTTAGTGACGGGTGACTTTGATTATTTCGTTGAGTTTTATCTTTTTAGGATGAATGGAGAGTTTTAAATTTTTATTGTTATTCAATGCTACCAACTTAATTTAATCGCAGGCGACTTTGATTATTTCGGTGTCTTTTATTTTTAAGGATGAATAGAGAGTCTTGTAATTGTGTTTTGAAATTAAGTTGGTATCACTTATAAACAGACATGAAAATTGACAGATGTCATTATTTAAAGCTGTTAACTTAGTTTAGTCGCCGGCGACTTTGATTATTTCGTTGACTTTTATTTTTTTAGGATGAATAGAGAGTTTTTCAATTGTTATTTGTAATTTTGAAATTAAGTTGGCAACACTGGAAAACAGAGACATGAAAATTGACAAATTTCATTATTATCTAAAGCTGCCAACTTAATTTAATTTCGACGACTTCTATTTTATTAGGATAAATGAAGTGCGAAATTAAGTTGGCAGCACTGAAAAAGAGAAACATGAAAATTGACATTATTCAAAGCTGTCAACTTAATTTAGTCATAGGCCACTTTGATTATTTTTTGAATTATTATTTTCTTAGGATGAATGGAGAGTCTGACGACTTGCTCCCCCTGACTTGTCTTTTTTCCGACCAGCAGAGTAACAACCCGTCAAAAGACACCTCTTTGCGTGAAGATCAGCAACGATCATGGATGGCCCTGTTCAAGTCGACCCTTGACCCTCAATACAGCACCCTTCCTGAGGAATTTAACGTTGCCATTGCAAACGTTTTCACTGGTAAAAGTCCCTCAGCTCTCACATTCGACATTGTTTCATTGATGGAAAAACCGGAAGAGAACAAATACATCGATTTACGGATTCGCGGGGGTTCCCATGGTTTTATTTTCGAGTTTGAAAAACCAGCAGGTGATTCGAGTTTTCAAGAGATTAAATTCGATGCTGAAGAGCAAGATGTAGATGAAGAAAGTTTGACTATTGAGAAAATCAATCGAATGTTGTGTAAAAATAAAGATTGTCCGGCGGCGAAGAAATTTAAAGAGTTTGGAATCGGCCCATTGGCCACTACGAAGGGTCTTGGAACGGTTTATGGGGAACCATCATTGCCCATCACTTATGGTATAAGTCAAACATATGGTGTGTTTGATGAGTATGGCCCATATGGGTTATTTTCACGCCCTAAACGACCCTCCCAACCCTTCATTCCGAAAGAGGAGAAATCTGATTGGCACGAATCGTGTTGGAAACCTAAATCAAAGAAAAAAGAAAAACCCTGTGATTGTCACAAGCATGACCACAATTCGTGTTATTGTCAAAATTTCCCCTCCCCTTTACGTTTGACAGGGGGCGGAGTCTTGGATTACGACGATGTTAAGAGCCCCTTTCATGAATGTAAAGAGGTAATGGATCAATTTGACGAAGTCTTGAGGAAATATAAGAAAGCGTTGGGTCCTTGTGGTCAAGTCACGTGTCCTTTCGCCCCTAATGTCACTAAAGAAAGTTGTAAACAGCGTTGCCAACATGAACAAGATGTCTACTCGGTTGACAATGTATACAAAATGGCCGAACCGACGCCAACTGTCAAACAACCAGTCAAGGAGAAATTTAAAGTAAAGGGGGCTTGTGGTTCCACTAAATGTGCCTATGCTAAATACAAAAGGGGGCTGCAGGATGAAGACGCCGAAATGGAGTTGCAGTATTTGCCAGCGGCCCCCTCGGGACAGTGTGGACATCCTAAATGTCCCTATCCTGTTGAACCCGATCTTCCCCCCATCCATTGGGATTGTCCAGATCCACTCCCGAAAGGACGATGTAAAAATCCCGATTGTCCTTATCTCCCGAAGGAAATCAAGTGTTTGAATGCTGTTTTGGCAAAAGGACCTTGTGGGAATTTTAATTGTCCGTTCACACCGCCGCCTCCGTGTGATTCCCCCACATGTCCTTTTGCCACTAAGGAGTGTCCTTATGCGGAGAAGAGTGAAACTGAAAGTGTTTGTGAAAATCCCGAGTGTCCTTACGCTCCCAAAAAGGAGAATAGTTTATGTGATAATCCCGAGTGTCCTTACATGACGAAGAAGGAGCCATCTTGTGTGAAAAAACCGCCATCTTGTAGACCACCACCATATCCTACCAATCCTTGTCTTCAAAATCTCCTAGCCTACTATGCCATGATGACCGGAAACTGTGACTTGATGCGAATTTGTTATGGCGGACCTGAATGCCCCTATATGAAGGATCCTCCAAAGAAGAAACCTTCTCCCTGTTACATCCCAGAGGATCCCTGTGCTAATCCCAAGTGTCCCTATGTCACAAAAAAACCATCTCCTTGTTACCCCCCGAACGATTCTTGCACCAATCCCGAGTGTCCTTATATGAAGAAACCCCCCGATATGGAGTGTGGAGATTGTGAAGAAGACACCCAAACGAAAAATAGTGAAGATTTTTGTGGCAATAGTGAGTGTCCCTATGCCCCCAAAACATGTTTCGCTAAACCTCCTCCTTGTTATCCTCCCCCCAAAGAGGAGGTGTGTCAAGGACCTCCATGTCCCTACAACTTGAGTTGTTTACAAGCACTACTCCCTTACTTTAACCCCATAACGATATGTCCTGATGGTACATGTCCATATGGAGGGACCGGTCTCCAAGACCTCCTCCAATTGTGTATGGCAGGTATGGAGTGTCCCTCCATGAAACCTTGCCCTCCACCTGCACCCCAACCATGTATGGTGGAGGAAAAAAATGATGGTGATATATGTGCAAATCCCTCTTGTCCATTCAAGAGTGAAGATAAAACCTCCACTAAAGGAGGGAGGGAATTAAACGAAGGTGTTGAATACACGAGTGAGACACGTGTGGAGATTGATAATGCCCCTTGTAATAAGGGCACGTGTAAGGCAGAAGGAGGAGAATTAGTTTGTACTGAATGTCCCTGTCATCGTGAAACTGGCGGTTTTGAGGAGCGCGTATTGGAGGAGGGACTGTTGGAGTACAAGTCTGACACTAGAGTTAGTATAGATTTGGCCCCTTGTACTCCCAAAACATGCAAATCGAAAGGGGGCAAATTAGTTTGTGACGTTTGCCCTTGTACTAAGGGTATCCCCCACATGGGGTGTAAGAAAAAGAAGAAGAATAAAGGTCGGTTTGTGTACACGATCGGTGATAAGTACCCTGGGGTTCATATAGGTCACAAGGAGTGTGTCCTCCCGGGTTACAATGTTCCTCCAAGAATGGGGTGGTTGTGGAATATCTTCACTCCTTGTCTGAGGCTTAAACCACGACGTGGTTGGAGACCAGGAGCAATTTCTAAAATAGTAGCCGAAAGAATTCGGAAGCATCGTGAAGCCCAAGGATTACATATGTTAGAGTTGAAGGACTTTCGAAGGGGGAAGAAAGGTGGAGGGGCTTACGAGTCAGGCACTTCGATTAATATACAACCGAAACCAACACTTCATATTAAGAAGCATGATGGTTGCTATTGGATTACGATGAACCCCCTGAAGGATCCTCACACTTTGGTGGAGAATGAAAGTCCCTATATGGATTGTACTCCCATGCAGTTCAAAATTGTGAAGAATAAGAAAGAAGGGGAGGAGGGATACAAGTCGTGTTTTTGTGATGGGGAAGAAAATGAAGAGTCGTCGAGTGAGAGTGAGTTGGAGATTGAGTTTACTCCCCCGGCTGGGATTATACATCCTGAAAGGTTCAAGAGGAAGAGGAATGTGGTTCATTGTGATACGCAGTATTTGGCGACTGATTTTGAGGTTAAATCGGAGGGTGGGAAGAAGGGGAAAAAGGGGAAGAAGGATAAGAAAGGGAAGAAGGGTGGTAAAAAAGGGAAGAAGGGGAAGAAGAAATGATCTTTTCATTGATATGTGTGTGTGGCGTCTTGAATAAATAATTTGGCTTACCGTTTCGTGTTTTCTTGGACATGAGGAAGGCTATTGCCGGGATGATGATACTGAAGGCGAAGGCGATAGCCCCGGCGAGGACTACAGCCCCCACGTTGAGGTTGGCAATGGCACCTTTGGCCATATCGACGGATTTTTTCACCGGGATTGTGATAAATGGGACGTTGAATGCCAATTCCATCTAATTTTTTCATGAGAAATCGAATTTGAGAGAAGTGAAAAACTTACGCTGATGTCTCCGTTTTGTTCCGTGTTGAATGTTAGTAGTTTATAGGTCTTGGATTGGGTATCCATTGTGTGGTATTTGCCAGTCATGTTGTTGCACAAATTTTCGGAAATTAGGACTGAGATGAGGAGTAAATGTGTAATGGAGGGCATTTTAGTAGTGTTGATTTGAGCTCGAGTGTGGCACTAATGATACGTTTTGGGGACTTTCGTTGAAGCTTAATCACAAGTTATGCAAAATGAAGCCGAGCATGAATGAGGATGAACACAATACAACAAATAGAAAGTGTGAATTTTGTTGTTTGCATTCGGGATTGATTGTGTTTCTTGCACTGTCTACAACATCAGAGGTTTTTGCTATTTCATTGTTGGTATGAGTGAAATTATAAACATCTGAAACGATGTTTAATGACAACAACAAAAAATGAGGACAAAAGACAAATCTCACCTTATGATGTATAGATTTAGGCAAAAAAAGACAAAATCTATAATCGCCAATTATTTCTAAACTATTTGAAATATTACGGTTTTCTCAACACCAGTGCATTTCCCAGAACATTTTCCATCAGTCTGGTGCAAAAATAGTCTCACCAGAATTGACATGTGATTACAATTTTGATGCCAAAATTTTTGGGCCAAAAAATGAATTGTGAGATATTGGTCTCAAACTTATCTCATTTTATAGATTTCGATGCGCTGATTACGAATATGGCCGACTTTTTATGATAACTCTAGTAACAGTTGATTAAAAATAGAAAAATTAAAAAAATTTGATTTTTAAACGCATTTTTCTCCGAAACTATAGACTCTATAAGAAAAATTAAAGTACTATTAGAATCTGCTGATTTGCTTTCAAATGGTGTAAACCTGGAATCGATCAGTTACCAATCAAAACTTTTTATTTCTTTTTTTTAATTTTGGGTCACTTGTCGCTGTTTTGTCTTCTAGAGAGATTTTACACGAATTTCAGGCATTAGTGCTTTGTCTTCCGAGAAGAATTAAGTGCAACGAGCTGTATAATTGCCCACAATTATATTTTTAGCAAGTGGAAAGAACTTTTTCGATTGAATTTCATTGATTTTATTATTTTCATGATCAGTTTAGTATTTTACTTGCCCTAATTATTGGAAAATGTCTCAAAATCGGCCCTATTATCACGTAAGCCCCCCGAAGCCATGCACCGCGACACCGCGAAAGTGAAGCCTCTTTGATGAAATCTCAATTGTCCATTGTCTCAAACCAGTGAGTGTGTCCCCAACACATATATAAAAACCCTCACGACGTTTCACCTCACACACAGTGCGACAATGAACCCCTTGTGCTTGTTTCTCTTAGTGGTCAGCTCGGCTCTCGCCTCGCCCAAAAAATACCTCCCGGATGAAGGGTACGTTCCGATTTATCCCATCACCGAGTCACACGTTTCTCCCAGATTTCAGCCTTCCTCAGGGAATCGCTACTACGAGTCGAGTTTACCGGGGAACTCCTCCAAAGGGGTGGAGAAAAAGGACGATTCGGAACGACTCCGGTTTGGAATTCCGGTCACTTCGTTCGGAAACACCGGAAACGGGGTCCAGTATGGGGGCAGTGGCGGCTATGTCTTCAGTCCGATGAAGATCGACGTGGGGGGCATCGCCTTGGGGGCGTTGATCGGCCTGGGGGCGGTTTTGATCGTCCCCAAGTTGGCGGCGGTCTTCGCCGGCGGACACGGATATAGAAGTAATTTTCGCGACTTTGGGATTAAGTTGGCAACATTGACTGTCATTGCCAACCTAATTTCAAAATTATAGGTTACTTGATTTTTTATTTTATTTGTTGATATAAGGTTTGGAGAATGATATGTCGGCAATTACGGACGTTTTGGCCCGAATTGACAATTCTTTAGAGCAGCACAATATTGACAGTAGTACTTGTATGCAAAGAGTGATTTGTACTTATGTCAATGAGGCCCAGAGGAATATGATGACTGGTGAAGCCAATACTTTGGATCAGTTTATCTATGCTGTGGCCAAGTATGTGTTTTTTTTTTTGGTTATTTTTTTGTTTTTATGTTTTGTTTTAGTAATACTTTATTTTCGTTTATGCTTGATGGAACTGCAGTCAAGCAAGCGGTGGATATGGGAAAGGAGGGCGATATTGAAAAATGTTCCTCTTTGTACGCAAAATGTCCCATAAGTAAGGAAAATGTAATGAAGGTGATTGCAAGCCTACTTCCGGCTTGAATTTCCTGAAACTTATTTATTTTTTGTAGTCTAATAATTGAAATACATTTTTTATTATTAAAATGTATTTATTTTTTGTTAAAAATAGTGTTTTAAACGTAGAATTACTCACTGGACACGATGCAATCGTTTAAAATGCTCTATGATCAATAGTTTTTGAGTTATTGTGACAAATAAAAAAGAAATAAAGTTTTATTGAATCTCATCAAAAACTGACACAATATGTAAGACTGGATGGAGAATACGAGTATACAAACCGTTTTAATCTAGGACTCATAGTTTTTGAGATATTAATTTTTTTTATAAAAAACTAAAAATGGTTCTAGACCCGGAACCATTATCTGGAACGACTCCGGGTTTGCGTTATTAAATAGATAATTTAAAGCCGATTCTGATGCTTTTTTGTTTTTTGCTCCAAGTTTTATAGTTTTGGAGAAAAACGAATTTTAAATTTTACAATGTTGCCAATTTTCACTTTTTATACGCCTATTACGGCAAAACTATTGGAGCTATTGCAAAAAATCTAACACCATCATAATCAGCGTGAAAAGATCTATAAGATAGCATAGGTTTTAACTGAATTTATGACGTTTTTTGTGCGGTTTAAAAATTTTTTCTTTTTTTTCTTTTGTGATATGCGGCGAAACTATACCTTAGGGGTAAAATGTTTCGAAGTATTCGTACGTAAAATGTTCCGGGGAATCGATTGGTGTTGAGAAAACCGCAGAATTCGCAATTGTTTAGAAGTTATATCCGATTTTGGCTATTTTAACAAAAATCGAAAAAATTAAAAACTTCAAAATTGATAAAAATGCAATTCTAGCGGTCTGAAAGACTTGTAGAAATACAAAAAATAGACTTTCGAAATTTTTTATTTAAGTATGAAAATGTTAGATTAGAACAGAGATACCGGCCGGGGGCGTCGTGGCGCAGTACACACAAAAATAGCTCTTTTTTATTAAATAAATTATCTCATCAGTAAACATTATTATTATTGGTCAACTCGCCTCGGATATTCTCCTTCATCAACTGAAACAAACCTTACAATACTGCCAACTGTGCTCTTACAATTACCAAAACTCGGTCCTCGTACCCCAATCCGGGGATTCCCAAGACGTAACACAATTTCGTGAGGGCGGCTTCAGCTGTCATATCGTGTCCTGAAATAACGCCGATTTTTTCAAGGGCCTGAAATTAATTTTTCCAAAATTTGAAATTTTCAGTCACTGAAATCGAACCTTTCCCGTTTCGTAAGTCGCTGAAACGGTGCCTTGGGGGCACTGCGTGATGTTCACGATCACGGTGCCCCTTTTCACAGCCTCCTCGATCACTTGGAGCAACTCTTTGCGGTTCGAGGGGATGTTGCCCACGCCGTAACTCTGCAAAACGAGGCCCTCCACCGAGGGGCACTGCAGAATTGCCCTAAACTAAAAAAAAAATTAAAACGAAAAAAAAAATTAATCCCTTTTTTTAACCTTGACGAGCCGCACATGTGAAGATGTTCACATAATTGCCATGGAAACGTAACGAAATACATATGTAACCATAGCGACAAGCAAACAAAGTCAGTGGCGGGTGTCATATTTGTTCCAAAGTTTTTAATTTGTTTTAATTTTTTATTTTTAGTGTTACTTTGGACTTACCATGCATGGGGTGATTGTGGGGAAGAAGCTCAACAGCCCCACGTTGGCGTTGAGTTTCGTGTGGACTTGAAAGGGGGCTGAGGGGGGCAAAATGGCGTGTTTGTTGACTTTTATGTCGATCCCCACCTCGGCCAAGGGTTGGTAATTGGGGGAGTCGAAGGCGTTCAAATGTGTTGAGCTGATTTTGGCCGTTCGGTTGCCGCGAAGTAGTTTATTGGCGAAAAAAATGCAAACTTCGGGGATTTTGTAACACCCGGCGAGGATTAGGGACGACAAAATGTTGTCTTTTGCGTCACTTCGGGTCTCGAAAATGGGGATCTAAGGGGCGGAAAATCACTTTTTGGGGTTTTGGTGTTTATTTTACTGTCGAACGAAGGAAAAAAAAAAACGGGCCGGATCGGGGCTCGAACCCCAAACTTGTTTTACTTTGAATTGAAATAACCCGAAAATTTAAAATTTCACAATTTTCAGGTTTTCAAAATTTACAATATCGTCAAAGTAGGCCATTTGTTTTTTTCTCACTCTGTATGCTTTTGTTTATAGTTAATTTGTCACTAACTAAATCCGTTATACAAGGTGATCTTTAAAAAACGACAGGAACTGTAGGATTTTTATTTTTGGCCCGATTTCAAAAATTAAAAAACTAAATTCAATGGCTTTTAAAATAGTATAACCTGACAATTTTAGATTTTTTCTAAATGTCATAGTATATTTTGGGCTATAATCAACTTTTCAATTTTAAATAGGGACCCAT